GACTTAGAATACGCCGATGACATAGTTCTATTTGGTGAAAACGCTGACAAAATGCAGTCTTCTGACCCCTATAAGCAACTATACAAGCATGTTCAGGATGCGAAGTAGTTGAGCGTGTAGACCACTTCACTTATATTGGGAGTCTCATCAGCCCTTGCGGTCTGGTGTGTGACGAAATTTCAGCACGGATACAGAAGGCTCGACTACCTTTCATCAGCTTGCGTCGTTTATGGCGTAGGCGAGATATCCGTCTAGCAACCAAAGGACGGGTTGACTGTTCAGCAGTTCGTTCCGTTCTACTTTAAGACAGTGAAACATGGCAGATAAGAGTAGAGGATATTCGTAGGCTACTAGTATTCGATCATAGGTGTCTTCGACGCATTGCTCGTATATCCTGGGACGACCGGGTAAGAAATGCAGTTGTTGGTAAACGGGTAGTAGATAAGGATGAGAAATCAATCGACAAAAGAGTAAACCTTCATCAGTTAAGGTAGCTATGACATGTGATCCGCGAGGATATATCAACCGATCGTTAGAAATATTAAATGACATGTCTCAAAATCGTTTATAATGGCGTAGGTGCATCCACTCTTTTGTTCTCCAAAATTCTAATCTGAATTTTTCATGAGTGAGTAGGACTTCCCTTGCAGAGGCTATATATGCGTGACCATTGGAGAGCATTTGGAGAGGCAAAGCGAGCTCTCCTCACTCTCGGCCGTACCAGAGCATTCGAGGACTTTAGGTTGATGGCTGCAGGAACGCCGTCCTACGAAATCCACCTACTTCGGTCTTGAAACTAACCGGAAATTAACACATCTCACACACAAACCAAGTGATTTGTGTGGCGAATATGCATTCGGTGCGCTGTTTTACCAGTATTTATGTGTTCAAATAAATAAATGCAAATGTATGGTATAGTCTGAGCATATGAACATTAGTAACTCACATGCTAATGAACAGAATCGTTGATACTTGAACCACTTCTTTATAGTTGGCTCCAGAAAAAATAAAGAGAAATTATGGAAGTGCTTAGATTATTACTTATAAACCATTAATTTATAACCTTTTATTTAAAGCCTGAAAATATTTTTCTGGAACGGAGCCCGACGCTTATAGTATATATGCTAAAACTTCGCTACCTGTTTCAACTTTGTATCGAATTCCATCCATTACTTCACTTCCTGACTTTAATTTTAACCTTAGCCTTGTATTGATGACCAGGTTCTGTCTTCCTTCACTATGAATTAGGCAAAATAATATTAATAGAATCAGTCCTGTTATATACGCTTGGAGCACTTGTATAATATTAACACTTTTTTGTTAACTACCTCGTTTGTTTTCTCCTGTTAAATGTAGTTATCGAGCTAGCTGCAGTAATAAATAATTTACAAGCATCGGTCCCCAAACTATCGATTCATGTTTTTCCATCATGTTTTTGTAAATAATGTTAGTTGATAAGATTACTGAGGTGGTGAGTCATTTGTGTCCATATATTCATACTTACTTAGCTTACGTGAAAGCTTAATTTTCGTTGCTTTTTTCAATAAGTGTGACCTTACTGCCATTTTTCTAAAATTCTTTTCATCAATTGTTTATTTAAATCAAATTATATTACTTGATAATAGTTGTTAATAAAATTTCCCAAAGATAAAATTTCTACCTTTGAAAAAAGAACGGTGAAACGTACCTAGATTTTTGTCCTTTGTGGAATACATGGAATGACTAAACTAGCACACTAGTCGGCCATCGGGTACAATAAATGATAGCAAAGCTAGGTAAAAGTTATTGGTAGATAAGTTTCCTTTCCACTAATCAAGACATGGTACCAGTTCATGAAGACATGGATTGTTGAACTGAACTATGTGCAGACTACCTGGTTGGCGTCCGTGTGATTATCGTATCACGTGGTTAGAGGATTTGAATGATATGGCTCAAAATCGTTTGCAATAATGAAGGTGCATTCCCTTTTTATCTTTCCTTAGCTCTTCTATTTTAAAATTATCTTATCCTTTTTGTTCCACAAATTAATCCTTAAATCATTCTGTCTACGTTTCATATTACCACTAATACTGTTACCAATTCGACCACTTTGGGTTTGTTTTGATAATTAATAATAAAATGATGTGGTAACTTGCAGTGATTGACATGTGTACGCATACGTTGCGTGTGATTGGATGATTGACTATATTATTGAATTGCAAATTTCTTACGATGATGAGACCGAGAATATCAATAATACTAGACTTTTGTTCAGGTCACTACCAATCTGAACAGTCTAACCGACAGTAGTGCAATGCAAGCGTTGAAATTGAAATGAGGTGAAGTCGAATGCACAGAAGAACAGGCCGGTAAACAAATAACCACACTTATGAGATGTATATGGACATAAGACATTGGGCAGAGTTTTCTGAGAAACTGTTAAATTGGTCCGTTGCTTAAGTAACCTCGGTCAAACCATCGTGTTCATTTTGACAGCAATAATGGATTTACAAGGAACTTCAATTTATGAAATGCCTCACGTTACCATTCCCGGACGACCTAACCCTAAATATTTATGGATAGTGACAAGTTTCTGGTTAAGGAACTGACTGGGTGTTTAAAGAAATATGGGAAACGAAGAATGTTTTGACATCTTAAAAAAAATGAATAGATCATCGTCCTTACATCTAAAAATTGTTCCTTTTTGCCACAACTATCGAGGAATAAACCTACCATTAACTCTTAACTATTGCCTTCCGTCATACTTCCTAGATTGTTCAGTACCCTTGTGTTATATCTGAAGCGTTTCGAATTCACTAGTTAGCGAACGGAACAAAGACTTGTGACCAGAGAGCGATAAGCTAGCTATTCTGACGCGTCCCAGACCCAGCTAACTAGAGTAAGAAGTCCAAGTTGGAAGCGGGGAAAATATATTCCGTAGCAGCCAGAAGCACAGCAATCAAAAGGGGAAAAATCAAACGTATATATACAGCAGTAAATTGTCCTTGGGCAGCATTACAAAATAGCACACTCAAAGATACAATGGACCAATAGCGTTTAAGATATTTTGCAAGTGGGAAATTCGACCCGAAGGTGTAAAGAGCGCTTTTAGCGCGAAAATAAAGAAATTCAAATTTTCAAAATAAAATTACAAAATTAAGCCATTTACCGAGTAAGCTCTGGGGATTTGACATTCCCAATACCTTGAAAAACAACCTCGCTATGAGCAGGCTATTTATCGTTCTGGTCGTTCATGTGTCGATCATATCTTCACCCTCCTCCAAATGTTGAAGCACCATCACACTTACTTCAGCTGAACAATCGTTCTGTTTCTTAATATCAGGACTGTCGTCGATTTGCTGGAGGAAACTGTGTTCTGGGATTGTCTATTAACGGAAAATGTCCATGAAAAGTTTAATAATGTATTAAAGGGTCTGTACACAAACAACTCAGGCATACAACCACCTTTCTCGATTGACCTTAGAGATGATAGAATTTAGTGGTTCAAAACGTTATCAGTCATTGGTGTGAACAGAAGCCCGTGATGACTCCTCCGTAATTTTCTTTTGTGTTCGTCGTAAAAATGAAGTGACCTTTCTCAAAAAAGTTATTTAGGGCTGTATTTAATTGGGTTGTATATTTTATTTCTTCACATAGTTGTGTATCTATTTATGTGGCGCACACGTTTTTCGGTACCTAGTTGTACCAGATTTCTATGTTTATTAAGTAGAATAAATCGATCAGTGTTTAAATATCTTGTTTTTGGGGATTATCCAATACTTGGATAGCTAAATGGTAATGTTTACTGAATATTACAAGTTCAAATCTCACGAGTGCATCGATTTCTTCATGATTTGCACTTTCACTGTTGATGAGTTGCAATAATCAAGATGCTTTGGTGTGCGGGTTATTATCAATTCTGTATATGCACCTAATGTCAAATCTATTTATAAGCCATTACAGTTATTGTAAATTCAACTGTTATATATGTGTTTTATACCAAAGCGAACAGTTCCCAGTGTCAGTTGTATGTCGTGGTGTTTTGAATATGGAGCGTTGGCTTATCGGTTAAAGTACTTAGCTTTTTATCAGTTGGTCAAGTATTCGATCCTCATTCTATGTACTTCTATTGGTCAATCTGTGTATTATCACCAGCCCTTAAGTAACCACAGCTGCTCAAAACTGTGTACTTAAACTTTGTAATCTGTAAATAAATTATAGAGTAATATGAAAATAACTTTTCAGTGCTACTTCACCCTTCTAAAATGACTCACTAATCATACAAATTGTCATCAAATCATAATTTTGTTATCTATTGAAATGGCTATGATTTATTCTTCTCAAAATATTTGATCGTATTTCACTAAGTAGCCTACATGTTCTTAAATATTTGTTTATAGATTCTATTAACGTTTCACCTGAAGTCGTATACTTTCTTCAATTTTATCTGAATGACTACCTCAGTTGTGTTAAATTGTTTTACAGTTTGTGATTGATTTATAAATTTAGTTTTATGTATTGACAAATGTAGAATGTGTGTATCTCGAATCTATCCCTTTTTTGAAAGTATTTAGTTCAAGCGTTGTTACGTTGTTGAACATTTTTATATTCTAATTATTACAAGGTTTCTTGTTTTTCATTGCAGTTTATGGTAATTTTATGTAATTTGTTACTAGAGCCTAAGTATCATCGCGATATCATTTCAACCCTTGAGATTATAGGTGTATTTGAAAATTAAATTCATTTAGTACTGTTTGTTTGAATCCATCTTTGCTTACAATAGTTGAAAATTGTTTCAAAAAGTGTTCACCAGTGAATTAAAAACACATGTTATTTATTATTCAAGTTGGATTCATAAGTTCTACCACGGAAATTTTTGAAATATATACTCGTGCTTCTGAAGATTGTCGATTTCACAGCAAGATTATCAGAATGAGATAGTGTCTAAGATAATGCACATCCATTATTTTCTCACGAATCATTTCTATGTTTCATCCGAACAAGTTAATTTTCGCTTTTAGAATTGACTAAACAAGCATTTATGGATCATTTCGCCATGCTACATTCCCCGGCCTACGCATCAACAATTCAATCAGAACTTGAACGTGAACACAATCGGCAAGCTGAGTTATTAAAACACACAAAATTTCTGGAGCAGTCTATTGCGAAATTGCATTCAGATGGGACAGATTTATTAAATCGGTTCACAAAACGCGTAAGTCTTTTTTATGCATTTGAATGATAATGTACTTGTTTTTAATTTGAATGGTGACTATGGTCTTCGCACTCATTTGATTGGTGTATGTCTGTCATTAACGGCTAGTGACTTTTTTTGAAGAAGCTAATCACTAATTTCTAATGTAGTGAACAGAACACAACTGGGGCAATGGGATGTATTTAAGCAAAAATTACAGACTATCTCAGTAAATTCTGATAACCATACAATGAACAGTTAATTTGCAAATTAACAACCAATGATCTCAATCTTCCCCGTTTCTTCTCTAATTCCATTGTTCATGCATTTTCCTACCGATTGCGCTTCATTTCAGTTCTTTCCTCATCGGTCTTCTGCCACAATACATTCTATGTCTGACCAACACCATATACTACTTATATGGATATAAGTAGACCACACCACACTATTTGGAAACAGTGATCTGTAATTTAAATCAAATCATACTTAAAGACAAATGCCTTCCGAGATCGTTAGAGAATAGTTAAACTTGTCGTCAATACTGAAATCAATGAATTGGTTGCATTCATTCTGTGCAAATGATTTTATTTGATGATTCGTATCAAATGTCATTTTACTTGGATTTATGTTCTCTAATTTTGTTTGACTTACTTTTTTACGCCATAGTAGTCTATGCATATACTATTCACTACCTAATTATGTTATACAGTAATGGTAGATAAATCATGTTTCATCAAAGTAATTGTATTTGGTGTCCTTCATTGTGTATGTATTTAGGTACTATTCGCCAATTATATTGCCAGTTTATTATGTAGGACAGTGCATCGTATCCTCACGACCATCTTGATCATCAGGGTATGTATAAATTATTTCGTTTAATACCATTGAGAAAACCAATGCCTCCGTTTTCCAGAAATTTGTATTCCTTACCGCCTCACCACATAGTTTGTAGTTGTAAATAATTTCGAATGCTAAATCACATTACATGAACTGCATAGGTTTTTAAAGATAGATACTACTACTTCTAGCATTAGTAATAGTAATACACAGTTACTCTTGTGGTCTTTACTGCCATGTCTACCATTTATTTGGTTGCGTTAAATCTTTCATAGCGCGAAATATACAGTATTGCAGCAAATTCCTTCCCAATGTTAATATAAAGGTTAAATAATGTAAAAGTACATTTTTTAGTGTCATTGCAAAGGTTTAACTTGATAATTTATTGATCTTATTCTCTGAAAAAGTGGATTATTTGTATTCATGAGACGTTCGCGATTTGATTTTCTTTTCATTGGGACTTTACAAATGTATTATTTCTTTTATTACAGTATGGAGCGTTTAACGTCAATGATTATATAACATTCTTAATTAATGACACAATTTTTCGATCAATACTGTCTCTATAAAACATTCTCTTCTTATATGTATATATATTCTATTATTTTTACATCCTTTGTTTTTGAAAGAACAAGCAAAAGGGAAAATGCCTTTAGTTGAATTATTTATTATTTAGCATCATGTTAATTTGTGTCCTCTTTATTAAAGCATATGAGTAACTTATTAAGTTAGCATGGGTACTTAGAAAAAATAAACATGTAATTGGGAAAGTTTGTTGCAATAATTGTATATTGGGGAACTAAGACTATCCCTAAAGTTCGATTTCTTTCTCATTCTTCTTTTCGGTAGCCTTGAATAATAATCCTCGAAGATGCACTTAAGAGCAACATGTTTATAGATTATTACATTTGTTTGACCTTCTATTTTCGCTTACCCTATGGATTTGTAGTGTCATTCATGAGGTCGCGGTGCATCTAAATACGACAATGATAATAATAATCGTAGGAATTAAAGTTCGCTGTTACAGATGTCTTTTAAAATGTTATATTGTAACGTTCAGGCTTAAGTATGTTTGGGTCCAGCTTGAAGGTACATTGTTTACTGGGGGAATATGAAAGCATTGTGTGAGAGGATTTGAAGGAAAACGTAACAAAATAAAAAGTGAACCGAAGACTTAGTAAGCACGTTATATACACTTACATTTGATTGTAAAAGCAGTTGATAGCAATAAACAGTTTTACAACTACAAGATTAAGATAACCTTATAATCCAGACGGGAAGCTAGAAGCGCAAGGTTTCGAATGCGTTACTAAATATTTTGAATAATTTTACTTCTAATTATTCGTTGCCACCACATTTGTTTCAAAGTGATTATTTGTGTTGATTATTCTTATCCTTTTACCTTTAAAAAACAAAACAGCTAGGCATACTAATCACCACACCGGCTGCATTTTTTTCTCAAGCTCGAAGGTTGATCAAACAGCATCATGTTTTAGAGGAGAAGATTGCTGAATTTCGAAGGCAGGTAAGTCCGTCACAGTATGTATGGATGTATTTATATGATCGTTATGTTTGCAATTTTCATAACCATTTTATTTTTCACTTACAATTCGTCGACCTTCAACTATTAGATTGCCAGCTCGAATCTATTCTACGTAATTCGGTTTCGAATAGTCAGGCAGTATTACTAACCCTTACACCATTAAAGTTTGACTCAAAGCTGAGTACATAAATATCTGTTCTCTTTAAAGGAGTTTTATTACATTTCTCGTAAATCGATTTATGAAATATTGACTACTGATCCAAGGCATATGTAGTTATATAGACTTGGTAAGTTATTGTCTGATTAAATCTCGACACAAATTCAGTGTGCTCGATTAGCTTTTGACCAAAGGACGAGTTTACGGCTCAACAGTTTTATCTGTTCTGGTTTATAGCTGTAAAACTTGGTCTTTAAAAATAGAGGACATTCGTAGGTTACTAGTTTCGGTCATAGATATCCTTGTAACATCCCTCGTGAATTTTGAGTCCATCGAGTTAGCAGTACTAAAGTTAGACACAAAGCATGGGTAAGGATGTCAAGTTGATTGACAAGGTAATTAATCCTAATCGACTGAGATGGTAAAAACACAATACGTATGTCCAACCACCGACTTCCTGGATGCGCGATGATGGCTACTATAGGAATTGGATGGGAGAAAGCTAGACCTGACCAAAAACCATGGTGTAGTCTAAAGCGTATGAACATTAGTAACTCACATGCTAATGAACAGAATCGTTGATACTTGAACCACTTCTTTATAGTTGGCTCCAGAAAAAATAAAGAGAAATTATGGAAGTGCTTAGATTATTACTTATAAACCATTAATTTATAACCTTTTATTTAAAGCCTGAAAATATTTTTCTGGAACGGAGCCCGACGCTTATAGTATGTATGCTAAAACTTCGCGACCTGTTTCAACTTTGTATCGAATTCCATCCATTACTTCACTTCCTGACTTTAATTTTAACCTTAGCCTTGTATTGATGACCAGGTTCTGTCTTCCTTCACTATGAATTAGGCAAAATAATATTAATAGAATCAGTCCTGTTATATACGCTTGGAGCACTTGTATAATATTAACACTTTTTTGTTAACTACCTCGTTTGTTTTCTCCTGTTAAATGTAGTTATCGAGCTAGCTGCAGTAATAAATAATTTACAAGCATCGGTCCCCAAACTATCGATTCATGTTTTTCCATCATGTTTTTGTAAATAATGTTAGTTGATAAGATTACTGAGGTGGTGAGTCATTTGTGTCCATATATTCATACTTACTTAGCTTACGTGAAAGCTTAATTTTCGTTGCTTTTTTCAATAAGTGTGACCTTACTGCCATTTTTCTAAAATTCTTTTCATCAATTGTTTATTTAAATCAAATTATATTACTTGATAATAGTTGTTAATAAAATTTCCCAAAGATAAAATTTCTACCTTTGAAAAAAGAACGGTGAAACGTACCTAGATTTTTGTCCTTTGTGGAATACATGGAATGACTAAACTAGCACACTAGTCGGCCATCGGGTACAATAAATGATAGCAAAGCTAGGTAAAAGTTATTGGTAGATAAGTTTCCTTTCCACTAATCAAGACATGGTACCAGTTCATGAAGACATGGATTGTTGAACTGAACTATGTGCAGACTACCTGGTTGGCGTCCGTGTGATTATCGTATCACGTGGTTAGAGGATTTGAATGATATGGCTCAAAATCGTTTGCAATAATGAAGGTGCATTCCCTTTTTATCTTTCCTTAGCTCTTCTATTTTAAAATTATCTTATCCTTTTTGTTCCACAAATTAATCCTTAAATCATTCTGTCTACGTTTCATATTACCACTAATACTGTTACCAATTCGACCACTTTGGGTTTGTTTTGATAATTAATAATAAAATGATGTGGTAACTTGCAGTGATTGACATGTGTACGCATACGTTGCGTGTGATTGGATGATTGACTATATTATTGAATTGCAAATTTCTTACGATGATGAGACCGAGAATATCAATAATACTAGACTTTTGTTCAGGTCACTACCAATCTGAACAGTCTAACCGACAGTAGTGCAATGCAAGCGTTGAAATTGAAATGAGGTGAAGTCGAATGCACAGAAGAACAGGCCGGTAAACAAATAACCACACTTATGAGATGTATATGGACATAAGACATTGGGCAGAGTTTTCTGAGAAACTGTTAAATTGGTCCGTTGCTTAAGTAACCTCGGTCAAACCATCGTGTTCATTTTGACAGCAATAATGGATTTACAAGGAACTTCAATTTATGAAATGCCTCACGTTACCATTCCCGGACGACCTAACCCTAAATATTTATGGATAGTGACAAGTTTCTGGTTAAGGAACTGACTGGGTGTTTAAAGAAATATGGGAAACGAAGAATGTTTTGACATCTTAAAAAAAATGAATAGATCATCGTCCTTACATCTAAAAATTGTTCCTTTTTGCCACAACTATCGAGGAATAAACCTACCATTAACTCTTAACTATTGCCTTCCGTCATACTTCCTAGATTGTTCAGTACCCTTGTGTTATATCTGAAGCGTTTCGAATTCACTAGTTAGCGAACGGAACAAAGACTTGTGACCAGAGAGCGATAAGCTAGCTATTCTGACGCGTCCCAGACCCAGCTAACTAGAGTAAGAAGTCCAAGTTGGAAGCGGGGAAAATATATTCCGTAGCAGCCAGAAGCACAGCAATCAAAAGGGGAAAAATCAAACGTATATATACAGCAGTAAATTGTCCTTGGGCAGCATTACAAAATAGCACACTCAAAGATACAATGGACCAATAGCGTTTAAGATATTTTGCAAGTGGGAAATTCGACCCGAAGGTGTAAAGAGCGCTTTTAGCGCGAAAATAAAGAAATTCAAATTTTCAAAATAAAATTACAAAATTAAGCCATTTACCGAGTAAGCTCTGGGGATTTGACATTCCCAATACCTTGAAAAACAACCTCGCTATGAGCAGGCTATTTATCGTTCTGGTCGTTCATGTGTCGATCATATCTTCACCCTCCTCCAAATGTTGAAGCACCATCACACTTACTTCAGCTGAACAATCGTTCTGTTTCTTAATATCAGGACTGTCGTCGATTTGCTGGAGGAAACTGTGTTCTGGGATTGTCTATTAACGGAAAATGTCCATGAAAAGTTTAATAATGTATTAAAGGGTCTGTACACAAACAACTCAGGCATACAACCACCTTTCTCGATTGACCTTAGAGATGATAGAATTTAGTGGTTCAAAACGTTATCAGTCATTGGTGTGAACAGAAGCCCGTGATGACTCCTCCGTAATTTTCTTTTGTGTTCGTCGTAAAAATGAAGTGACCTTTCTCAAAAAAGTTATTTAGGGCTGTATTTAATTGGGTTGTATATTTTATTTCTTCACATAGTTGTGTATCTATTTATGTGGCGCACACGTTTTTCGGTACCTAGTTGTACCAGATTTCTATGTTTATTAAGTAGAATAAATCGATCAGTGTTTAAATATCTTGTTTTTGGGGATTATCCAATACTTGGATAGCTAAATGGTAATGTTTACTGAATATTAGAAGTTCAAATCTCACGAGTGCATCGATTTCTTCATGATTTGCACTTTCACTGTTGATGAGTCGCTTAACCACTAAATCACTTTGCCGGCATCCGACGGTATCAATATCTTTCGGTTAAGTGCTCGCGCGCGAGACTGATAGGTCCTGGGTTGGAATCTCCGGAGGCGGGATCGTGGATGTGCACTGCTGAGGATTCCCACAATAGGACAAAACGGCCGTCCAGTGCTCCCAGGTTTTCCATGGTGGTCTAACTTCATTTGAATCATGATTTTAACCATGATGCGTCTTTTATTTTGCGTCTCTACATTCTATCTTCTTATTAGACCGTTATTATTATTATTAGAATGAATAAATAATATATTTGTAATAAGCTGATCAATATAAAAATTAGATTTGCTGATATTTATTTATAACAATCTACCCAATGCTTAATTGATTCGAAATTATGTAATCAAAACTTGGTAATGGTACCTATTATTATTATTATTATTATTATTATTATTATTATTATTCAATAAATATATTGGCTATCATTTTTGCGAAACAAGTATATATTTGAAATTGTAAAGCCTTAAGAATGGATTCACTACAAATATAAATTTACATATAAAATGTATTTCTCTAGGACTTCCTTTTTGTGCCTTTTCATCTTTTTGAATTGTTTTCTTTCTTTATCCAGATATCGCTACTATCATCTGCCAATCAAGAATTAGTGAGACGTCACCATATTGAGGCCGCACGTCTTTTAGCCACTGCAACAGCGAATAAATCAGATAATTCACTTCAAAATCAACATCCTACATTGAATAAGTTAATCTGTTCTGGAATTGAAACTAAAGTAACTGAAATAAATAAAAATGGATTTCATTATAATTCTGACAATATGATACCAACTTCCACTTGTTCTGAATTAAATTATCAAAATGCTGTTTCCTTGAACTCAGTGGTGATACCACCACCGCCATCGTTAACTAAACTTTCTCATAATACACTAACCTGTAACAAATTCGAAATCCCTTCAATTGCCGGTTCAGATAATTTAGTATCTGCTCATGAGATGAATCAACAGCATTCACTGAATCCCATAAAATCTTCAGATGTCAAACTTAGTACATCAAGCGGTGCACCTTCAATTTTGCATAATAATACTGATTTCCATAAATTTGCACCGGTATTAATAAAAACTGTGAATACAAGTAATCATTCTGTAGTTCCGTTTCACACTCACAATAATAAAGCGGATTGCGACCATAAAGTTATCACTCGTAATAGTAATAATCATAATAATAACAGTAATAATATCATTAATAACGGCACTAATCATAGAATTGACAAACACATGAATATACCTCCTCCACCACCTTTACTCCCTATGCACATTCATTCGGATGTTTATGTAGATGGTGTATTATCATCTGCTAATTCTCTATTCGATTTCAACAAACATAATTATTGTAATAATAATACTACTAATAATAATATTCCTTCATTACTCCCAGAACTGAATAGTTCATTTATTACATGTAGAACCGATTATGATGTGTCACTTATTCAATCAAATTATCGTTATCATACCAAATCAATGCATGCTTCTCTCCAAGATTTAATTTTAGATGAGTTCTCGCGTGAAACACCATGTATTTCAGTGAGTAATAGTTGTGCGATTGCTAAAACTAATAAAAACAGAAACGTTTACAGTATATCAGATTCTTCATATAGTTATCAGTACGAGAATAATCCAAATCCCATTTTTCAACATCACAACCACCACAATCATCATCATAAAAGTCTTCACCCTAATTACATAGATTACAGTCACCAATTGAATTTACCACCACGTAAACGACACTGGGATTCATCCAACTATAATTCTACTACTACTACTACTACTAATAATAATAATAATAATGATAGTAATAACAATTATTATTATTATAGTGAAGAGTGTGAACCCCCCAAATTGTCTCGTGAATGTAAGAGTACAGACATGGAGACCTCGTTGTAGCTACCGCTAATACTGCATATAATACTAACAGTTTTAACTTTTCTTAAGTATTCAAATGTAGATTCGATGTCCATCGTCACTTTTATTGGTTTCAAATTATATTTTCACCACACTCTTTCCTTTCATTATTCTGTCTACTCAAAGCTGCCAAAATTGTTTACTTGCTTTGAAACTGTGTATTTTCTTTTTGGAATTACTTGTTTTCTCTTCTACACTTTTGATAAGGAAACAAAGTTACCGCAATAACTGTTAAACTTATTGTGCATTGTCATCAGTCAGTGATTATCTAATCTAATTTCATACATGAATAACGCATATCTATATTTATGTATATATTTGCGTCTATGGTTCTTTTACGCACACTTTTCATATGATCAGAAATGAAATTCCCTAACATTTGTTTTGTTGCATACTTATTTTTAAGAAATCATATAATACATACGTTTTTTTGAAAATCTTAAGCAATTATATTTCTTTAGATATATTAAGAATTAAACTGTCCATGCATTGTTCACCATAATTGATTCTTTATAATGAAATGTTTCAAAGAATATGTTTGTATGTACTTACGTAAATATAGCAGATAATCACACTGCTGTTATCATAACTATACACATTTCTGTTTTAAATGTGTCTTTCTCATATCATTACTGTTTTAAATTTCCATTTCATGAATGTGATCGCAAGTAAAAGGATGTTTCAGAATGTTCAATACAAACGTCTACAGTGTATAGGTTGATTGATTGAGTGAACATAAATTACCAGGTTATTTATTATATTACTTTTTTTATCTTCTAGAATTTTTTCGAGATTGTTATAAGTTATTTACTTTTCACTGAGATATATTGTTTTTGCATCTAGATGATACATTTAATGGTAGTTATTGTTATCTTGATATCTACACAGCTTAAAAAGTGTTCCTATTGTTGTCCATGATAGGGATGACCAAGGAGATATTCAACTTCTCATCCAGGTTCACTAGCTCATATTTCTTACTACTAATTTTTGTGTATCAAATAGGTTTATCGTTGCGTGTATTTCAATTGCTTTGTAAATAAGGTGTTAAGAACGGCCTTGTGAGATTTTGTTACAAAATAGCACTTTTAAATTTTCATCTTAGTAGATATTTCTGTAGTGATTATGTCTGTTGGTATTATTATTATAATGATGTCTATTTGATATTCAAACTTTTGTAAGTTCTTGTTCTCTGCGAGTTTTTATATTATCAATGGACTAAAAGTTGATGGGATCATATGCATGCCTGATTTTACTCATCATTGAGACTGGTTCCTATTCCTTTCGAAATGAACGGATACACATTGTTTTCTGCATCTTCAGTTTGTAATAGACAAAATTAGGCTTCAGTTTCCTAGCAATTTGTACTACTACTACTTTTTATTATCATCCAATTGTGAGTATTGAAATTTTATTATGTATTTCAATTACGCTGATGAACTTTAATAGGTGCTTTCTTGTCTTACTGCCATGTTCTTAATATTTTGAAGAAGGAAATATAAAAGCGGTTTTGTATTTTGGTGTCTATCTTTCTGGTTTTGCCCATTTTCGAGTCGTCTTACTGTTGTCCTCGTTTGTGTTATTGTATTTCCTTCAATAAGAACTCATACTGTAGTGAACAAAAACACGGGTGGGGACAATCGAATGTATCTGAGCATAAAATACAGTAAACAAATTTACTTAGTATTGTTTGTTTGGATCTTCCCATTGATGTTTTTAGGTACAGTAAACAGCTAATTTGCAAACTATCAATCAATTGTCTCAATCTTGATTGTTCCTTCTGCAAATATCAGTTCATGGTCTCTGATTTCACTGTTCATGCATTTTCATACCAATCGCGTTCCGTTCCCGTACATTCAGCGCACGACCTTTACCATATACTACTTATGTGGATATAAGTAACCCACACCATAATACTATCCACTTACTGCATCTATCTTGTGAATTATGAAGTAATATGTTTTAAAAAATAAGTTTTCTCCCTCAGTCTTCTCCCTCTATTATTTATCGATGAGGACTAATGATACTACACACCTGCAGAGGGTATTATAAATTCGAGTATGCGGCTCAGCGGTTTAAGTGTTCCTACATCAATGTGAACTAAATAACTCTATTTTTATAAGAATTTTTCGACAGGTTGATTCCATGGCTTTTATTTGGCAAACTAAGATCAGTTCATGGAGTTTAACAGAATCGTAATATTGATACCTAAATCTAATCTTCTGAAATTATATCTTTGAACGTCCAACAGTTTTCTTGCGTACCACAGTATCTGTCTCCAACATAACTAAGATTAGTAGTCACTGCGCATCCATCCTTGCCATCATTTTACGTCACGGTATAGAGTTTTCGTTCTTGGTGGATGTTTACAACAACAGAACAATTTAATTTCTAAAGTAACCGAATTTGGATATTTATAATTCATGAATCGACATCATTCGTCAAGCAGGGCGGTAGTAAGACTTACGTGACACATGCCTTGACCTTCTCGGTCGATGAAGGTTTACAAACTCACCAATCGGTTTGCCTAGTTCCCTATAACTAACCTCGACATTACTGTCGTTCCACAAAACACGAACAACGTTTAAAGGATAGTTATGATCAAAAACTTACAGCCTACACTTATCTACCTTCAAGCTTTTTGTTTCGCAACCATAAAGAAATAAGGGCAAAATACTGAGCAGTGCATACGCCAACCGCGCTTTTATAATCTGTGCCGAAATTTCTTCAGATACCAAACTATCACGGCTAATACGATTTCCAAGATAAGTGAAGAGGTCGACGCACTATGCCACTTCACTACTTATCAGTAGTTTAGATATTGATGCAGACCGATCCGGAAACGGTGTTTTGCACTTAGTAGAGGATCATATTACAGTTGTACTTGCATTGTTGCTCGAAACGATCGAAAAATTGTATTTTGTCGGTGTCCTCACTGAATCGAACTACACCATTTGCACATTCTACGTGGATAAATGAACCTCCTGGTAGATCGACCCATGAAAAGTCAAAAGATGTGTTATAACGTGTGCTATATTTGATATATGAACGTGCTGATCCCCGCCATTCTGAGAGGAGCTAATTATCGATCAGAGCTATGATACACACATTGGTCCATAAATATTCCTCAGAGTTACCATTCATAATTCACCAGGGGATATAGCAGGATGAATTTGTTGTTTTACGAGAACATCTATAATAAGATTCAGTCAGTGTGCAACGCTGACAAACATCACTCGAGGTTGGCAGTTCGCCATTGATTTTTTATTCGATAGTCATCACAAGGTTTGTGAACTTCTTTGGTACGCCTTTCGCTTATGAACGCTCACAAAACCTTCCGGTAAAGGGAGTTGAACGGTGCCCTGTCGGGAAATACAAATATACTCGAACGTTAATATGTCGTGGGACCTGAAGAAGGATGAATATTTGGTCAATACATCAACGTTAAGGTCTGAGACCAGTCTGGTTTTTCTTAGTTCGCTCTTCATGAATCCTCGTTGAGCGCCGGTTGATTATTGAGAGTATTAGGCTACATGAGTTTAACTGATTCTTGTGGTTGTTGCAAGGGTATTTGTGTTATTTCTTATGAACTGGAACTATCAACAATCTAGACCAGTCATAAAGAACAACGTTCAACCTCGAAACTAACTAGTATCTCAGTCTTCTTAGCTACTAAAAGTGCATCATCATGTCTAAAGTTCTTTACAGTTAATCCATCAGGATCGACTGCCCTCCCTCGTTTTAGATTGACTATAGCCTATTCAACCTCACTTAGATTTGTGGGACTTGTGTTGATTTCTCATTCAGTTTGCTTAGAGATAATGGGTAACTAAAGAGTCGCTGGAGGCCAGTTGAACTGTTGCTTGAAGTGTTCTGCCCATCGTCCTAATCTCCTGAACTGGGAGAGAAATATAGTTCCGTCTTTTTCCGAGATGACTTCATAGCTTCCTTTCTTGAACCTGGTGTTATGAGATTCTTAATATCTGTCAGTTAAGTGGACTCTACAGAATGTCACTGATATTTCTAATTTTTTTGGTCCAAGTCACTGGTAAATGCTACTTCTTTCTGTACATCTGTTTGGATATCGTATCAATCTACCTTGGGGTGGATATCACTTAGAATCTGAGTGGTGAAATCTCTTTATATCTTTTTTGTACGTAATCTTTTCCATCAATACTACTGATAATGTTGCTTTTTCTACTACTCCAGGATTTATTTTGAGAATTCTATCTCCCTATACTAACGTGATATGGCGTTTTGAACCGATGCCCATATGCGCCAGTTTCTGCATTACACATGACATAACTGATTGAATACGTTCAGCCAATCCGCAACTCTGAGAGTTAATATCGTTATAGTTATTATTTTTCTAGACTCTGTCCAGAACTTCATGATATCTAGTAGTCGCTCAAATAACTTTTAGTTTCTATGCTCTTGAAGCAATGCTTTACTCGTATTACTTTTCTTTGCCAAGGGATCAAAGTTCGTAGATTCGTGAAAATCTAGTTGTCACATAAATATTGTAAATGTTAGTTGTTGAGGTCATGTATTTTTGTTGTTATTTCGAAAATCGATTGCGACTTCGGAGTCTTATACGTCGTATTCGTAGAATTTTACAATAGAAATTAAGACTTATGTCGTATATTCAGTAAAGTATCGCAATATACACTTGTATAGTTAACATGAAAATAAATCGTGGTGTTTATAAAACCTTCACGTTATTTACTAATTTTAACTATTCTATACATTAATTTTGAAAAGCACCAAATAACAGTTAGCAGTACGGTCGATAGAAAAGAAACCTCATCAATTGCTTCATGCCACTCATTCTTTTGTTAAGTATTAAAATATAAATGAATACAAATTGGTTATCTGCGAATACATAATAAGTTTGTCTTCAGAATTCTTGTGGTGATTGTACAACTACTACGACTAGGACTACGAATTCAATTACTACTACTACTTACACCTGTTACCCCTTGTAGATGAGCCTAGGCCGCTCACCGGTATTCTCCATCCAACCCTGTTCTGGGCAATCCTTTCCAGTTTCTATTCATCCTTTTGATGTTTGTTTTCAATTCTCAATGTAATGTGTTCTTCGGTCTTCCTCTTTTCCGTCTCCTTTCAGGATTCCAAGTTTGCACGTACCTCATGATTCAGTCTGATGATTCCAGTAGTGTTTGTAGGATAATTAAAGTTTTCATATTCTGCCACATCTGATTTCTGAAGGGGAAGGTAAATCTTAAAAACTCCACCTCAATGGGAAAAAGTGTTATATCTGAAGCGTTACGAATTCACTAGTAGCGAACGGAACAAAAACTTGTGACCAGGGACCGATGAGCTAGCTATTCTGACGCGTCCCAGACCCAGCTAACTAGAGTTAGAAGTCCAAGTTGGAAGCGAGGAAGTTATATTCCGTAGCAGCCAGAAGCACAGCAATCAAAAGGGGAAAAATCAAACGTATATATACAGCAGTAAATTGTCCTTGCGCATCATTAATAAATAGCACGCACAAAGATACAATGGACCAATAGCGTTTAAGATAGTTTACAAGTGAGAAATATGACGTGAAGGTAAAAAAAAGCGCGTTTGGTGCGAAAACAGATAAATTCAAATTTTCAAAATAAAATTACAAAATTAAGCCACTTATCAAGTAAGTTCTGGGAATTTGACATCCCCAACAAAAAGAAAGCCAATTAAAACGAGGTGTTTATCACGCTTTAGTCTGTGATTCCGTTGTGACAACAATGAACTAACTAAAATACTTTTGGTTATCATAAGACTGAAATCATTGATAAAATTCTTCTAAACCTAAAGAACAGTGAATGATTGCTCCATCTTCATTTCAAGCTGTTATATCCTAGTGAAAAAATAAATACGGGTAACTTCCGGGGCCTATTAATGGACGATTATTCCATATATATTCTTATTGGCTAACTATTGAGTAACTAGATTGTGTATATCTATATTCATCATATTATAGGCTTTATTTTGACCTATGAATTATTACTGTACGATTTACTGTTCCCAAATTATGCTCAGTTTATTGATTATTGTATCCCTTATTCACAGCTTGATCTTTAACAAAAATTATATTCTATTTTGTGGTGTGATGCGGTTTGTTTGTCTATCTGGTATATAAACAGAGTATGCTTGAACTAAATGATTCGCACAGCAGAAGCTGCAATTGGAAGTGCTATGCGGACAAAGGACCAATAAGGACGCTAGACTACTCATACTGGTCGAACGTTATTGATTTGTCACAGTGTTAAGATCGGAAAAGTCGTATTTCGATTGGTGGATAATTCGCGGGATGAAAGCCGGACATAAAAATCAATAACGAATTATCATACGTTTCATTTATTTTATACAGTCACAACACAAGCTCTTCAACGTTGTATAATTACTATGTTATATGGAACAAGATCGAGAAGCTTTAAGTCTCGCAATAATGAATGATGTTATTATTCAAATTGATTGATCACAGTAGTCATCAGTGTTATGTTTGTCTAATTCTTAGCTCTAATCGAATTCTGTTGATCAGGGTGTTAGTGTTCAGACAAAAGATTTAACCAAAATATCCCTGTTTATTTTATAATTAATCGATGGTTATAAACCTTTTATTATAATAACGTATTAGAATTAAGAACATACTAAAAATTTTGACCATTAAAATTAGAAGCAGAACTTTAAGATTTCAGCTGAGCAACTTTGTAAGATACGATGGAAAGAAAATCGAAACTTAATAGTAGACTAGTGCTGTTTTCCAGCACACTGTAATAAAAAACAAACAATGAGTTACTGTCACAAGAAGTCAGTAAATTTGGCAATTGTTAATGTTTTTCAGTTTAAAAGTAATGGAATAATTGTGTGAAAGCCCTAGTGATAGTGACAAGGTC